GCTAAGAACATTGTACAGACTGCTTATGACAGTGCTGAATGGATATTGCAAGATATCACCCACTCCACAACGATTTGACAGCTTGCTCCTCTCAGAGTACAGTCTCAGAGAAAACTTCATCACCTTATAAGCAGCAACTCGCTTGTGCAGAAAATCAAAGGTACCGCACGTAATTCTAATCCTCCTAAATTTTCCTACCTTAAATTGTCGTATCATATTTCTAAAGGTATTGCACAACAGTTGCCTTGCATTGCATTGTATGTTGTATATATGCTTATGCTGAAGGCAGACTCTTAATGTGTGGGGTTGATAGAACATTGAATGTTGTTACGCGGTTTTGCAATATTCGAATTAACTATACAATAGGGTCAGAGAAAGAATTTTTATGAGAGTCAGATTTCTCTTGCTTTGCCCTCTTCGAGCAGCCTGACTCACCTGGCCGGGTTAGGAATAGATCCTCGTTTTTAAGAACGGTTATGAGAGTACTTTGCAATTCCATTCTGCTGAATTGTGACGAAAGCTAGTTTTCCGAACCTCTACTTTTCGCAGGCGGGATTTCCAGAAATTTTTTCGGCTCTCCTTTTAGCTTAATGGCAGATTTTGTGAAATAATTTTCAAGCAATTCAACTTCTAGATTTTCTATCGATACAATAATGTCAGGCATAAACTCGGTAGCGATATTCTCCGGCGAGGGGAAGGAGGCCGGATTTTGGCATTGGGCTATCCTCGTCATCAGGGATTTCAACCATTATCAAAATATAAGCTTTTAACGAATGGATAGCAAATTTTTCCTACTTTATGAATTTTGAAAATGGCCTATTTACTTAGGTGATTGTTCATTCTGTGGTCTGCAACCGTTGTGACGTTTGCAGTCATAGGTGCACCTTTAGCCGACGCTGCTGGTTAAGAAGATTGTCGGTATCAGTCTTGATAAGGCATATACAATCCGTGCAAAGTTGGTAATCATTATTCCGGTTGGCATCTTCACAGGATTGGATATCTTCTTGATTGTTCTGTTCAGCTCCTACCACAGAGCAAAATGCATAAATTAACCCGGACTGCCCCCCCCCCCCTTTGAAAAACATGCCGAAACGTTGGTACTGGTAAATCACCTGACTGA